AGCCCGGCCTCCCGCTCACCGACGGGGTCCGCGCAAGGTGCGGAAAGCCCCCGCGGACGGAGCGGCACAGCCTCTCTGGGCGCCTGCTCGCTGCTTGGCTGGCCTCACGGGAAACGGCTTTTCCCTATGTCTTGTGGACACGTCTCTTTCCTTATGTCTCTTATGGCCATGCTCTGTGGCGCATCATCCCCCTCGGTGACTCCCGCCCTACCTTCAGCAGCGTTCCCAGCCGTATTCCTGGCACCCTTCAGTGCCACGTGCCACTTCTGGCAGCTGCACCCTGCGACCTGCCCGGCTGCCACAGTCAGTGACCAGCTGAGTGGATGGCCGGGGGTCCCCCAACAGAAGCCTTCCCCAGCAGTAGCCTGCATCCAAAGATCCCAGAAGTGGAAGAAGCAGAGCCTGAAATTGCCGCGCAGACTGCAAGCACCAGCTGCACCCCGGGCCCACTACTCGCACCCTGCCTTGCCAACTGCCCCACCACTCCCCACTACCACTGCAGGCCCTTTCTTGCCAAATTACAAGCCCACCCAAACACCTCCCCATCGATGTTCACCCTGTTCACAAATGCCCTCGCACCCACCACTTCTGCCCCGAGTGCTGCCCTCACTGCAAACGGATGCTGGGCACAGGTGTTTGCTGCTTTGAGGTGAGGCTTCCTACCACTCTCAGCAGGTCCCCTATCAAGCAGCTTCCCTATATAAGCCTGTTCGAACACCCCCGAGTGCCTGTTGCAGCTTGTGAGAGCTGTCACCACAGTATGCTTCTCCTGGCTGCAGCACTGGCACCATATATGAGACTGTTGATGGTTTATATCTGAGGATACCAAGGAAAGAAGTTTCTGCTTTTGGAAGAAACGGTCTTTTGTAATGTTAAGTGTTAACTTTCTATGGAAAGTCACAAAACCTAATGCTTTTGTGATTGCAGTTATTTGAAAGCATGAACTGCAAGGCTTCAAATAGGCAAATTTGCACATCTTAATTTTAGAGCAATTCATTATCTAAGCTGCGATTAAAGTAATCTTAGTCCTTTGAGTTGGCAATACTGAGTAGATTTCTTAAAAGAGCATTGAAGAAGTAGATGGTGTTAAGTTCAGATTTTTGTAGGAAAAATACGGCAAAAAAAAGCCAGCTAAATTTTCAGCCAAGCAATTTTTTTAAATAATGCACAAATTTATTCCAATACTGTAAGATGCAGACTGCATTCCAAATGTCTATCATACCTTTTAGTAGTTATTGGGGCACGGGAGAGAGTTTTTGTTTGTTTTTTAAGAAAGAAAGTCTTCATAATGGCTTTCATTTCCAAATATGTCAAACCAATGTACAGATTGCAGGTTAATTTGTTCTAAGTGAGCAGGTCACATATCGAACTCCACTAAAATACACCTGACTTCGTATGAGAACCTGCTTCCAGTACTAGTAAAAAGGCCTTGGACCCTGATTTTGCAAAGGCTTACATGAGACTACAAAGTGATGGATAACTTCAGTATTCACAGGGTGCGAGCTTCATATATGCAAAACAGGCTATCACAGATCTCTCACCATCTCTGCAGTCAAGCATTTAGACAGAAATTAACAGAAATGCTCTAAAGAGTCAGAACAGTGGTGCATCCACCTCTCTATTTTGACTCCTATGGCAGGGAAAGGAGATGCTACTTAAGGAGAGCTCATTAGCCTAGCCACCTTCTGGTACTTCCTCTGCATCCACCTTTGTCTTAAGGATGCCAGAAGGTACATCCTGCCTATTTCCTTCAGTGTCCACTCACCCTCCTGTTTGAAATCAATTTGAATAACTCCTTCCTGAACCAACAGATATCGTTTGCATCCCCTGCCTCTAGGGGCAATACGTTCTAGTATACGTCCTCCTTTGCAGAGGTATACTTTATATGTCTTGAAAATAATCTTCAACTTCTTTCAAGTGCTTCCTTGTTCTCATAGGGCAGGATTTGGCTAACAACAACTTTTCATTGTTCGTGATTTTCTAAGTCACGATCATATCTCTCCCCACACCTCCCCTTTCTCCAAACTGAACAGTCCCAGCCTTTATAGCTCTCCCTGTAAGGCAGCAGCTCCATCTCTTCTCTGTGCCTTCTCTAACTCTGCTACATCCTTCTTGAGCTGTGAAGACAAGAACTGATCACAGCACTCAAGCTGAGGCTGCACCAGTGTTTTATATAGTTTTATACAGCAGATGACTCCATCTTGTTCTCAATACCCTTCCTGACCATGAACAATGTTTTGTTGGGCTTTTCTGGTTGCACCACTGCACATAAACCCGATGAGACAATTTCAGAGAACTGTATAAGATAACTTCATGATTGAGTTGTAATTGCTATCACTAAATTCAGCAAAAGTTAAGCTTAGAAGTCTCCTAATATCTTCACAGTGCTGGAGCATCTGAAGGTATGTAGTTAGTTTCTGAAGGCTCCACCAACCACCCCTGCGAAGACCGCTAGCTTTATATAGCTCCAAAAGAAATATTGAACCCTTGTTAAGGATTAAAATCTCAAATGTATTTGGAAGCATTTTCAAAGAAAAATAAATGTCAATACACTGTTTTATTTGGAAATACAAGATCTGTATAGTCATATATAATGCCCCGCAGAAACAATGGAAATTGTCACTTTTCCAAAAAGTACCGTTTTTATCTACTGAATCTTAGTTTAATGAAAAAAAGGAAAAATCTCCTCTTTATTATCCAAAGTCTAGAGAATAATATCAGACTTTGTGAAAAGCCAGCTGATAACATAAGTCACTGAGTAGCAAATTCATAACGTTCTATAAATCAGACTTTCCAATAAGGGAAGAAAATATCCAGTATCAATTTTTAGCATGTCTAACCACGCTCCTGAATAAGCCAAAAAAATCCTACTTAGGGCTTTAAAATAAGAATTAATTTTGAAAGGTAACCTTTTCATCTTTTAAAATATGTGGGGTTTTTTCCCTTCTAAAGATTCTCCCCCAGCCCACTCCATGGCCTTGTTATGAACATACCTTTTAAAAAGACTTGAAGTCTTTTTAGTGTCTTTAAATGTTTTCTTCTCCTGAAACTATATACATTCAGTGTATAATTTCACTATCAAGTCCCTTCTTAATCTTCTTTTTGAAATAAGCTAAACAAATTATTATTATATTAAACATTATATATTATTATGTAATAATAATATATAATATAATACAATAATATTATATTATAAATTAAACAAATAATTATTTAAATCTCACACTAGACAGGATTTTCTCTAGCCCTAAAATAATTTTTTTTTTCACAATCTATATCGCTCTTAATGTCTTTTGGAAAGTTAGCGTTAAAACCCTTTGAAGAGTTCTGGTACAGGCCTATCAACCTTGTAGTTAGAAGTTAGTTCACCTTCCTAGTCCTGCATATGATGGCTCACGCTCTTTACGAGCTCATAATGAAAGCATTTTAAATTAAATCCTAATGTTATGTTGGTCCCCCTCAATTATTTGTCCTTAACATATACAAAATGCAAAGTTTTGTTTGTCTTACTGCTGCAACAATTCTGCCTCATTTATGAAACAATGGACAGTCTTGCAAATTCACAGCCTTCAAAAGTCTTATCTCCCCCAAACTCAGAAAGAAGCTTTAAATTCTTGATAATGCCCTTTTTAACATTTCCAGTTCATATTTTCAAACCTTTATCCAAAACAAAGGGGACCTACCCACTAATCTTATACATAATGAAAAAGGAGATTCTCAGAGGATCCAGTGACCCCTTCCCAAGGGATCCTGCCTTCGTGGGGCTGAAGCTTCAAATAAAAAATCACCCAAACTGTCTGCATTCACAAAACTAGGGGCCACAAAATCAAATCTGTTTAAACATACAGTATAAAGCTCCAGAGAATTTATGAGGCCACTTCCCCTCATCCACCGAGGAATCCGTTACTGGAGTTCTGTGACAGGATGTTGCAGGTCTGGTCATAGGCAGCTCATGATTATTGGAAAGATCACAATTGACCTGTAAACATTAGAGATTTTTCCCTTGGCAATATTTTAAGAACTACCTTCAGACAAAACTTGAAAGATTTCTTATATATGCTGACGGTATATATTTCTGTTAGCATTTAGTCAAGCCATTTATAATCAGAATTAATGTGTGCTATTATAAAGCCTGCTTAAATTTGAGAACTGGAATGATGACTTTGAAGCTAACACATTGCAACCTAAGGACTGTACTCCTGATCCTGAAGAGCAGGCAAATTGTAAAGGAAATTGCTCTTGCAGTAAAAAATTCCTTGTAGGATTGTCCATGAAGGCTCCTTACACAAATCTTTCTGTGCAGCAAGGGCACAAGAATATTTATCACAACAAATGGATTTACTTTTAGAAAATACTAAATAATTATTTTAAAGTACTATAACTCTTCCAATTTTACTCGGAGAATCTTTGACTACATGGAAGAGAAAACACAAATATATACGTATGTGTGTGTGTGTGTGTGTGTGTATTTGTTTTTAATATCAACACGCACACCTTTCCCACCCGTGCCACTAAGACCACAGCCTCAATGAGGTCTAAGATCCCTCACGGAAACTCAAAACCTACAAGTACGCAGCCACCTCCCCCTCTGTGCAACGTATAATTAGAACCCCGACAAAGGCCTCCCCTGCCAACACAGGTGCTCCCACAAACACACCGTTTCGCAGGTGCGCACGCCACCACCGACGCATCGACCACCACGAGCCGCCCACGAATTACCCGTTCACACTACCAAAACCCGGGCGGAAGCGCTCACAACGAACGCGCACTGAGGCGGAGGGAAGGGGGGGGGGGGCCGAGAAACGGCTCTGACATAGAAACGGTCGATCACTATCAGTTAAACGGCCGAGGAGCTTCCCGCCTCGCGGAAGACAGCTTGCGCGCATGCGCCCCC